GTTGACAATCATGCTTCATAAGCCTTTTTGTGATTGGTCAGTTTTGTAAACCCGTAGTGTAAGGAGAATTCGTGCTTTCATACGAAAGATTTTACACTATTTTTCGCTATTTTAAAAGCTTGTTATTTTTAAAAAACGGTTTTAAAACAGTTTTCCTTGTTAGATACTCTGATCTAAACACGCGGGATGTCGAGAGAACACGAGAAAAGCGTAGCAAACCACGACTTTAAAATTGTTAATTCTACAGTAGAAAGTGCAATTCTCACCATTACGATTTACACGATTCATTCATTATTTTGCATAATTAATAAATTTAGTTCGGCGCGTGTTTATTAGGCGTTTGCCGCAAAGTCGCTCCAGACTCTTAAYATCCGATCCTGGCCTATTGAATAGGGTCGAACTTTTTTGCGACAAACGTGCTAACTATGAGCCTATTTCAAAATTAATAGGTTCGACTAAATTAAGTTAAAGGTTAGTTCGACATGTGCTTGACGGACATAGGTCTATAATCTCTGTTCCTCGTACGATTCATTACATACCTCCAAGTAGTACTTTGAAGATAACTATCTGAAACTACTAGATTTCATTCCGCTTTCTTTTATTTTATAGWATGCGATCGTGGAGTAGAAATTCGATGAAGAAGATTATCAATAAACCAGGACAACCTCCGTCACCAGGACCGAATCCAGCTCGATCTAAGAAGATCTCTGGTGGAGGATCCAAAAAACTCCAACAGATGCTAGGAGCAAGTGAAAGTGATATCGACCTGCTGTTGCGTCCAGCAGAAATCGTACATACCACATCACAGAGGGTAAATATCCAAGCATTTGATTCTCATCTTTCAGACCAAATCTTCTATCCATCCATCCATCCCTCCCTCCATTTATTTGTTTGTTTGTTTATTTATTTTGTTGTTTTATGATGATGTCTTCTCTTAGTATGATCTTCAAAAATGTGTGKCAACGATGCATTTGGAACGGAAATTTGTAATGAGATCAAAAAAGAAACCCTTGTGTCAATAGGCTCGTTTTCATTGGTTCAATTAATACATTGCGTGACGTCACAGTCTTAATTTTTGTAGCTACTGCTTCTAGTGAAGCGGTAGCCACTATATCATCGGGTTGTAAGTCCGTGAGTCCGTGAGTAACAATAGAAACTACAGTAATAGCAGCAGTAAGGGGGACCCGCG